GATCTTAGATTGGTTGCTGAGTCACTTGGCAGCTGGGAACACAAACAGCTGCACTGAAACCTAGCACCTAGCCTAGACAACAGGATTTGATGCAGAAGAGTGAACCATCTTTTCTATTCTCATTCAAACCCAGTAAACATGGCTAAGCTACCCACTCAGCGCAGCACATGGTACAAGTGTAGTGTGTATTCGTCATCCTTGTAAAACACATTTGGGAGGTGAACAAATGCATCGTAAGGTCAAAAATATTACAGATTTGAATAAATAACTCCTTACATACCCACACTTATTCATTTTCTCCACCAAATGCTACATTTGCATCTTTGCCAAGAGAATCGGCACAGCTACCCATGTGAAGATAGTCCAATAAAAAAAAGGAGACCCTAAATCTCTATAAATCATAGTCTATGAAGCTCCTCTAACTTACATCATAAGAAAATACAAGTAATAAAAAGTCATCTTTTCTCCACTTTTTCCTATTTCTTACAAAACCCTTTGCGGGGGGAAAAATGGCAGAGAATCTAGAATACTTTAGTTTGATGCATAGATTCATTAACAAATGTATTTTCTCAGCAACTGAAATCTGAAAGGTCCTGTTCTAATGAGATTTCCAGATACTGTAGTTTCTGTCATGACTGAATTAATAACCTAAGAAAATGTAACTTGTAATTGTCCATAGGTTTTCTTCTTTCTCTACATTTAAAATAGTTACAGTATGAGGTTTAAAGCATTACAGAAGATGTTCCACTTCTTTTTTTATTTAATGCCAGCACAGCATATAATGCTGGATTTTAATCTTAGAGGTATGGAGTTTTAAGCTGCTGACAGATTTCTAGAGAAGCAGTCTTCCTGTTGTCCCACTTTGATTTTTTGTTAACTCCTTCATTTGAGTGCTTATAGCAATTTTAAAGGAACATGTATTTGTATAGTTTAGCATAAGCAAAAGATTTGCAGCATCTCACTTATCTTTAGAAAATTATCACTAAATATTCAGAACTGAATATTCAAATTCATTAAGATACTAAAAGAATCAGAGGGAAATAAAATGAACATACGTCCCTTTCACTTCTTTTGTAGTTCTGCAGTTTAAACCTAATTATCATAATCAAGCATACTGATATAATTTCACAAATACTGATCAAATATTTGCTATAGTAATTTCTGGCAATGTCATTTTTAAGCAGAAATGACTTTTAAAACAGGACTATCTTCTGGATCAGTCATCATTGCCCAAAGAGCAGAACAGCATTGTAAAGCTGCTTTACTTCAGTGAAATTCTGTGATACCCAGAGCTAATCTCTCCTCATTAAACGATGATTGTAATTTCTAAAGAACGAATTGCACAACTGGGGCAATGTTTTCTTTGATCTAGCCAGCACACCAAGTCACAGCAACATGTTCAGAGAGCAGGTTCTACCATAAGCATTCGGTAATGACATCATCATACAGCAAGTACCTGAGGGCTTAACGAGCATGAATCTACTTTGGAAAACTCCACCTTTTCCCATCCCACTAAACCTCCTCACACAAAAATGTGAATTTATTAAGCCATGGAGCAAATTGCTCCTAGCCTCTAGTGATCAAGCTGTCCAGCAAAAGCAGCTAGAGTGACGAAAAGTTTAGCAGCCATATCAAATCTAACTACACCAGCTCAGAGTTCCTACCACTGACAGCGATGAACAAGTTCATCAAGACTGTATATGGTTCCAGAATCATGTTACATTACTACAAGCAAACAAACCAACCAGTTAGAATAAAAAGTTGTTAGTCCTAGCAACAAAGAGGAACTGCAGCGTAGACAACATTCACGAAGATCAACCTCGAGAAGGAGTCTGCATTCTCTTCAGAAGATAGAAAAATCAGATTTCATGTATTCCATGTCATGCGCCCATGTGAACCATTCTTTCAATTTCAAGAGAGTGGAAAAGATTAGCATTCTTATCTGGTAATATTTTCAAAATATTAGACAACTGGGACAAAACCAGGAAGTTCCTACCTGGACTTCCCCTAGGCTTGGAAATATTTAAATATTGGGCTCTGATTTTCAAATGGAAAAAGAAACATAATATAGATTTTTTTTCTGGACAGAGAAACAACAGCGGAAACTATGCAGTCTGCATTTGTGTACTTCCATACCTGTTATTTAAAAAGTTTTCTTTTGGATCAATTTAAAAATATTTGGAATGCATAAAAGCAAGTCAGTTATTTCATACTATGATCTTTAAAGCAAAAACATATGGATATGGCCCTTCATTCTGAACTGTCATTTGTTTTGTGCTCCCATGAGAACACAGCTTCACTATTTAAGACTTCTAGAGAATTATAAAAAAAACAGACTAAAATTAAACAACTTTTGACTACAAGTGTTTTACAAGTGTTTCTGAGCACATGGCACTAGCAATGTCTTCTTGCATTAAGACAAAGATGTTATGTTTCCACTACAAAGAGAAAGGTTTATATAACAATTGTACCACCAATTGTACAAGTGATTCTGCAGCAGCAAGAGAAATCTCAGACAAAAAGTTCGGAAAAGTTTTTCCTCCCTCATTTCAAAAAAAACCCCTTTCTATTTCTGGCTTGAGAGCTTTCATTGTTGCAGGTACTCTATGCTAGACTACAGAGAAGCACTGCATTTGCAGAAACAGTTGACAGTTAGCAGCAACTCAGACTGACTTGAGTGTTGCCTTCTGGGATTTCCATCATGTTCTTTTCCAGTTCTGTATAAATCAAAAAAAAAAAAAATCAATTAAAATCTTATAAAATCAATCCACAAAAAATTATATCATTTAGTAGAAAGGGTACCATAAGCTGAATGCAACCCCAGCCATTCCTATATGGTAGAACTCAGGTAGACAATGATATGAATTTACTAGCAGGTGTTTGAAACAGTCTAACAATTGTAAAACCTCCCCAATCCTTCCGACTCTAAACAAGGAAAATACACACAAGAAGCAAAACAACGTACTGATGAGATTCCCTGCCCCAATCTGGGCCATGTGTCCAGCAGTTTTCTCCATCTCCTTTATCATGGACTGTTCAAAGGCCAAGGCAGCAACTCGGGAAAAGAACTCTTTGACATTTTCCCCTAGGACACAAGACAGAAATTGCGGTTTTACAACTGCACATCAACACATGAACAAGCATAACAAGTACATCTGAGAACATATCACTGCCCAGTACTGGGACAGAACAGGCCTCTCCTGTCCTCCATTCTGATCACCACAGAGAGGCTTCCTCTTCTTACTCTGGAATACTGTATCCTCAACGGTACCTTTATTTTTAGTGAGTAACAGAGAACTCAGTTTGTGGCATAATCTCTTCTGATTGCTAATGTTGAGTAGCAGTGCACATGTGCATTTATGTTACTGCCTACGAATTAAACATACTCAGACATTGCACAGCAGCTCAAGTACTCCGTTCTGTAAACATGACAGTGCAAAACACACATACAAACGCCCCATAAAATCAAACCCAAGCTTTCCAATAGCAACAAAATGCAAAACCAACCAAAACACCTGTATAGGAGTGGGGGACAAGGAACTTTAAATTCCTCCCACCTTAACATAAGCCTTTTACACCTGTTGCAGTAACTTACCCGTTTTGGCTGAAACCGACCAGTATTCTGCCTGTACCTCATTGGCAAAGCGGATGGCATCTAGCTCTGTCCTTTCACACACAGCATCTGACTGAGCAAATAATGTGGAATAATTTTAATATAAGATGTGTGTCTGGGCTGGTGCTAACACTGAGGTATTGCTAGTACCTATAATGCGAAGCTTTCAGTGGCTTTTCTGGCCCTGCCTTACAACTTGTGCAACCAGAGATGACTGCAAGAACATTCGAGTAAAAAGCACTGCTTTTAAAGTGGAAGTCCCAATTCACCTGCCACAACATTGAAATAAAGCAATATTTAACAAGTGTGATCACTGTATCTAACAATATGGTGTACTAGGGAGCTGTAAAGACAACAGTCCAGTTTCTGGACTTGAAACTACCACCCCAACACTCTCAGCAGAAAAGCTGCAAGTCCAACTAACCACAATGATTCTTTAATCTCTCTTGTCTCTGTCTCAGATCCTTTTTTTTTCTCCACTCTACTTTTACTATGTTGAAACATAACTGCCTTCCCCCCTTTTTATTTTTGCTCTTTTTATCTCTTCTTAGGACTAAATTTCTTGCCCATTCACTGGTTTTTTTGCTTTCCTGCACTTAATTTTCAGGTCTCTTTCCCCTCTCATCTGTTCTCTACAATCAACCATATCAGTATGTTGATATTTGCTTTTAATTTCTAGCCATTTGTGATGGATGGTATCAGTTGTCTTTGTACAGTTTCTGTGCATTGTCTTACCATGGGGAATCCCTGCACAACCAAGAATTCTAAAAAGAATAGAGAAAGGATGATGTGACATAAAGGTGAGGAATCGAGTGAATCCAGTTAGGAAGACACTGGCTTCATACTGAAGTAATACCTAAAATTCACAACCCTTTACTTTGCTCTTGTCTCTCAGTTGCAAGTGCTATCATTACAAAAACAGAAACTAACTTACAGTAAGGAATTCTAGGTTAGACAAAACTTCAGATCTGTGTCCACAGAGGTCTGGTACATTTAGCTTTTACTGCAACTGAGAAAAAGCAGCATAAACAATACAAAGTACCAGAAAACCTGTCAGACATGCAGTTTTCTAGGACTTACATTGAGTGAAGGATAAGAAACAAACTGCATAAGTGATACTGTGGCAGCTCAGGGAGGGTGGGAAATAAGGAATAATTAAGGAATTAAACAGCAGAAGGAGCAAGTTTGCTTTGAAATCTTAAGTATTGATAGCTAAAGACAAACACAAAGCTCAGAATAGTATAGGGTGAGAGCATTTTATCCTGTTTCGAAAATCATGTCACATTCAATTAAGTAAGAATTCTTCCCTGTTCCTGAAGAAGGAACACACTGTTCCTAAAACAAAACAAACCTCAAACCCTTTAAAGATTATTAGGTACTCCATTCTTTTCTGCACCCAACTTTTCTCTGCCTTTTCAGTTGTTTGAGTGTGCTTGCAAATCATGCAAGAAATGGAAATGGGAATATTTCAATAACTACACATTTTTTCAGAAGTGTCTTCTTAAATTGATTCCAAGTATGTTGTTCTATTTACCTGTGATTATCTTTCTTTCTGTTTAGGTTTCTTCCCTTGAGGTCTTTATCTCAACAATATGGTGTACAACTCATAAAGGAAATCACTTGAGGAACTAGGGGTAATCTGATTTCCTTATCTACATTCAAGTTACTTACCACCAAATCTTTTTTTGTTCCAACCAGAAAGATGATGCTGGAATTCGGCTCATTCTCCTTCAGTGTATCTTCTAGCCATTGTCTGAAATACAAAAGAGAAATGTGAGGATCAGTCAGAGGAATATAGGAGAAAGTGACAGAAAACAGGGTCACAAGAAAAGTGAGATGAACTTATATGAGAGCGTTAAAAGCCTTTTTCTTCTAGACAGAAAGAGACCAGGAACTACTCCAACTCCTTTGAATACATGCCTCCCATTACTGAGAAGTTCAAACATGGCCACTGTAAAGTGCAAATTCAACAATGATTTTAGCACCCCAAGTCCTCTGTATAAGGAAGGTAGCAAAGTTGTGATCAAGATAAGGAAGAAAACAAGAAGCAGAGGAAAAGATATGAACAACATAGCAGATTAGATACAAACAGGAATAAAGAAGATTGAAATAATATATTCAGCCTTCTAAAACAGCTCCCTATGAAGGCTGCATGATTCTTGTCTCAAAAGCTTTTATATTTTTTGTTACTCTGGCAATCAAATTCCTCTTGAGTCATCCAACACAAGTCAAAGAGGGAAGAGAGTGTGTGTGTGTGTGTGTGTGTGTGTGTGTGAAATCAGATTCATAGGCTTCAATTATTTTCAGCCCAGCAGAGACACTAATATATATATTATTTTACAAAGTCCTGTGTAAATGAGCTAAGTACCACAGCAGTAGTCTAACGAAATACTCTAATACACAGTCAGATAAGACAGATTACAGGTTATAAAGAAACATGTACCTGCATTACAGTCACAACAGTATGTTAGAAACATATATATGCTCTGAGGTGGTGACAACAATGTGGATCATAGATCCATGTAGGATTTTTCAGTCTGCACCAAAAGTAGAACAAGTGTACTCATAACAATTAGCACACTGTTATAACTAAACCATTACAAGTATCTAGACCAGGAAGTTTCGCTATATCTACGTGAAGTTTTTAATTTTTCTCCTCTCTTTTTGACAGCCTATCTCCCAACAGAATCACTACAGAAACTAAATAACGAAAATAATTTTGGGCTACCAGTGCACCTAGAAAGTGAGAAGCTCTTGAGACATTATGCGTGAGATGCATCTCATCAATTTCACCATTTACATCAGATGTCAATTTGCTATTCTGTTTATAGCAAACAGAGATTAAAACAAATATGCTTTTGGGGTGAACATCTCTTTCCACATGTCTAGTTTTGGAAGGATCGAGCTCTTACTGAAGTTCCTTTTTCTCTCCACCTACTATAAGGGAAGTCAAGGGTAAGTAGTTCAAATCTGCGCTCTGAATTTTCTTCAGAAAAATCCCACCCTACATAATCCAAACAAGTGGCTGTCATTCTTCGTTTCATAGCTCAACAGAAAACACACTCACGATCCAGCAAGTTCTCAGCAATTACAGGTTATCCAGACAATTAAACCTGCTATAAAAGCTTTAAAAGCTAAGCCAAAATACAAAAACTTACTTGGTGTGATCCAAAGTCTGGATATCAGCCAGATCAAACACTGTTATTATAACTGTAATAAAAGACAAGAACAGAAAAAAAAGTAATTATGTTAGAAAGTGTATCAGAAGTCTCTCCAACTCATCTTATTAAACACAGAATGTTTACACTTGAAGTGCAAGAGCAGATTCAAGACAGAGGAGATGGAAGACTATCCATTTGCTCATTCCTCTTCTTTCTCCAGAACCCAGTAAAACTGAAGCCCTCAGTGTTCAACCTTATTTAGTTTTTAGTCTAGTCTAGAGTCTACAATGATATTACTTTTTATTTTGAGACCACTTTAACTCCTGCAGAAATTGTCTCTCACCAAAGGGAATGCCAGAGGTATCCACTTCTAGCTTCAGCAATAATCTTACACAAACCCAAATTCTCTTCCCCCTAGAAATGTGTCAGTTTTTTATCATTGCATTGTCAGAACATTCAGAGCTTGCATGTGTGACAACATGTCAATTCATGAGCTTTCTAGTCCCTTCTTCTCTCCAATAATGGGACAATTCATTTCACCACACTATGTCTTCAGGTGTACATACATATATGTTTCCATATAAAGTACAATCTCCTGTCACAGCCTGGATCAAATTAATATTGTTCTCACCCTCTGCTCCTCGGTAGTAAGCAGATGCAATACACTTGAACTTTTCCTGACCTGCTGTGTCCCATCTGTGCAGTAGGGAAAAAAATAAATTACAGGTTAATGAAACCCGGGGAAACCTGAGTAAACATGCTAATGAAGCAGCAGACTGGTACGAGTTGGAGAAGAATGTGATACCAGAGAAGTGTTACCATCTGGAACATGTTATTCATTAACTACTGATAGAAATACAGTAAAGCTCTATTATTTAATGAAGACATTTCAGCTCTTTTTTTTTTTCTTTTAATTTTTTAATGCCGACCATTTTGCAGATATAATTTAAATATTTGTATTCTCCATGGTAATATCCTTTCCTTAAAACATTTTTTTCCTCATCTATGCCATTTGTATGTATTTCTAGGACAATCTAATTTTGAAATTTTTTCTGTGCTCACAGCCCAGAAAGCCAATCATATCCTGGCCTGTATCAAAAGAAGCATGGCCAGCAGGTTGAAGGAGGTGATTCTCCCACCCCACTCCACTCTTTTGAGATCTCACCTGCAGTACTGCATCCAGTTCTGGGGCCCCCAGTGTAAGAAACACATGAACCTGTTCCAGAGGAGGCCACGAAGATGATGAGGGGGCTGGAGCACCTCCTCTACAAGGACAGGCTGAGAGACTTGGAGTTATTCAGCCCAGAGAAGAGAAGGCTCCAGGGAGACCTCCTCTGCTCAAGCAGGTCCATGTCTTTCTTACACTGGGGACATCCCTGTACTTAAAGGGGGCTTTAGAAAAGATTGGAAGAAGTGTAGCGATAGAACAAGGGGCAAAGGTTTTGAACTGGAGGGGTAGATTTACATTCGATATTACAAAGAAAATCTTTACTGTGAGGGTGGCAAGACACTGGAACAGATTGCCCAGAGAGGCTGTGGATGTCCCCCTCCCTGGAAGTGTTTCAGGCCAGATTGGATGGGGCTTTGAGCAACCTGGTCTAGTGGAAATTGACCCTGCCCACGGCACAGGGGTTGAAACTAGATGATCTTTGAGGTTCCTTCCAACTCTAACCATCCCATGGCATCTGTCCATATACTACAAATTAGCTCAGTCCACCAGGTACTAATGACACCATTAAAGAAAATCAAGAAAGTGTTTCTTATTAATGAATGTGATATGCAGTCCTCTCAACTAGGGCCAGCACTAGACACTTGGATTTTCATTATAGCCTAATACGGCCAGACACGGCTACTTACAAATTTGTCTTGTATGGAAGTCTCTCAGCAAGAGGGGGCACTAGTGCTTATCATATGGAAACGTGCTACCCAGCCACTGAAGATTCTGCAGATAGTGCAATCTGACATTTAATAGCTCACAAACCTTTTTGCTTCAGCTGGCAAAATATTGATGCACCAGTCTAGATTTTTAGAGGGACTCAAGTTCCAAAAGGATAAAGTCTAGCAGAATTTTCAAAAACACAATGGCACCGAGATTAGTGGGAATTTGATTTCTAAGTATTATTCAATAAATCCCACCAGTCTTCTGTTTAGATCAATGATATATCAGAAAAAATACATTCCTAAGTGGAAAGGTTTTTAAGATTCATGCAATAAAATACTTCACTGAATCACAGAATGTTAGGGGTTGGAAGGGACCTCGAAAGATATTTCATGCAAAGCATCTTCTGTTCTAGGTCACACTATAGCACAGATGATTCAATAATACTCTCTATAGAACAACACTGCCAGGCACTGGAAACACCAAAGAACATCCTTCAGCAGAACCAGGTGAGAGAAGGCCAAGATTTCCACTAGTCTGATAAACAAAGCTGAAAATCAGAGATTTTAGGTTTACACTCCAGTCACTCTATGATTTGGGGAAAACCAATTAGTGCCTACTTAAGAGATGCTGAAATGCCTGGACACCTTCATTTCAAAATTCCCAGTAAAGCCAAGTCCAGTGCTTGTGCCTGCTACACTCAAATGACAGAATGGTGTAACAGTAGAACTGGACAAAGTCTGTGGCAAAAGCTTCCACTTCTCTTTCAAGAAACTTGAGTAAAAAAGGCAGAACTCCACTGAAATGGCACAAGATATCCGAGATGAATTTTCATTGATGTTTTTTAAAGATGAGAAATCCAAGAGTAAAATTTTTTCTAAAACTGCACATCCACGTACAGAACCTGTTTTTCAGATCATGTTGCTCTTACATGAGATTACATGATTTTTCAGATCATGTGTGCAATCTTGCTATTTAAAAATAAATAAATCTTTATTCCACTAGAGCCTGCAGCAATTGAAACAATTCAGCAATACCGTGAGAGCAATTAGACATTGGAATAGTTTCCTAAGGGAAGTGGTGGATTCTTCAGACAGTTTTAAGGCTCAGCCTGACAGGGTGCTGGGCCATCTCATTTAAACTGTATTTCTTTACCTTAAAGGGTTGGACTAGATGATCCTTGAGGTCCCTTCCAACCCGTTATTCTATGATTCTATGAATCTTTGCTGAGATTGTACTCTGCACAATGCTTAACCATGCTGTTTCAACTTACATCTGGAGATTATATGGGATGCCAATTATTTCAAAACGTTCAATTTCAAAATCCACTCCAATGGTTGCCTTGTAGTCCCGGTCAAAACTGTCTTTACAAAATCTGCAATAAAAAAAATAAATTACTAGTAACTCCCAGATACAAATAACTGCAAAACTAACACAATCTACTGTAAATTATGGAGAAAAGAATTAACTAACAGTTGAGTGGCTATATAGTGCAAAAGCATGCATAAAAACATCAAGAAAGCAATTTAAAAAAAAAGAGATATTGGATAGCAAACTAGAAAATATATACATTTAGTAAGCTTTCAGGATTATATGAGAATCAGAATAAAGTATCTTTGAACTCTCAGGGAAGACAGAGTATCTTTTAGTTTTAATTACCAGGGAATATATTTTGGGTCATAAATAATAACCCAAATGACTAATCAAACAGATTAAAAATTTACCTACTTAAGAACATGGAAGAAATAACAATAAAATGCAAACATAGACAGAACTTTGTCACAGTGATCATAAGCTACAGAACTTCAGTGATTCACTGGACTTAAATACAAAAGCATAAGAGCACTTTTTAATAATCAATGAAGAATTCAAATAACTATCCTTTAAGGTATTCTTTATTTTACCTATTTCACTTAATAAGCTATCAAAAAAACTTGAGCTTCCCCTATAGTTCTGCAGTTGTAGAAACAAGCACAGGTATCCACACAAGGATAGCTTAAAAATGATTCAGTGAATAACTCTACAAGAAAGGAGAAAACATCTGTAAAGATTTTTTTTTTTGTTTGGTACCTTCAGATTTTTTATCCTTTAGACTGTTTTTCTTAAGGAAACACTGAATCATATCTGATTGAATAAAAGTAATTCAGAATATAACATATACTGGTTGAAGTGCAGGAGCACGACATCCTCTGCTGGTATATCAAAACTGACTCATTCTAAACTTTGTTTTGTCTTTTATTTAATAAGAAAACCATAGTCTAAAATAGAACCATTAAGTACTACCCCAAATGGACAGGAATAGAAATAATATAACATTTATTTGAGAAATAACAAAATCAAACCATCTACTGAGATACACTGTACCTGTTGATAAGGCTGGTCTTCCCAACATACAGGTCTCCTACCACAACCACTTTTGATATTTTCAGCCTGTTATAAATATTTGAAAACATATTTTTAGTAGCAATTCCGACATACTCTCTCTAAAAATTCTGATTTAGTTCCTTAAATTGCAAACGATGAGCACATGTACTTGTGCTCCAGTTTATCTAAATGCCACTATGTTGCAAGATTAGAGTCTTAAATTGTAAGAAAGAAAAAGGTCACGAAGAAACCCAAATCCTTCGGGAACAGAAATAGTCCATTTCATACTCTGCATATTTTTCTCTTAAGTACATTCCAGTAGGACATAAATTCTATTTTATTAAAATCCCTTTGACTACAAGTATATCAATTAGTCAGTTTCCACATAAGACCACAGAGTATCTGCATCCTTTCATTAAAATTAAACATGTTTCTCATTGACTTTAATAGTACAAATCAAGTCCTAAATGCAGAAACAAGAAATTGCTGATAATAAAATAATCAACTGCATAATTTGTTTCCGGGGAAAAAACCCCACATGGTTAGAGCCAATATATTTTCTGACTATCTGGAACAATATTAATCTGAATCTGGCTTCATGCAAATAATCCTCTTTGCTCTGGGTACTCCCACAGAATACAGCAGATGGGATTTAGGTGACTCAGCCTGTACTCCTAAAATTGAAATGCAGCATATCTTTTAGGAGATACAGGTAGATAAGTGAATATAAGTGTATTTGTTGACCTAAACTTGGATTGACATCTCCTATGCACACGCTACAAAAATGGCTTAAGAGGTTTAATGTTCTTTTGTATCAAGGAATGGCTTTTTAAACAAAGGAATTAATTTCCTATTCAATACTATTTCTGGTTATATCAGGCTTCCATGTGATGCTGATTCCAAGTTATCTACTCTAAATAGTCCAAATCTTGACTGGTAAGATGTATGACTGGTAAGTTGTATGACTAATATTTCTGAAAAAAAGAAGGCATTTTGTATGGCAGTCAACACTAACTCGGTAGCCACAGGCCCCTAAGCTGCTGACATGTCTCTTCTTGATTAACTGGCACTGGTAAAATAATGAATAACATCAATGACCCTAAAGGAAAAACAGAAAAGTGATGGTTTAAAGATGTGTCTGTGTTTCATTAAAAAACTCCGTAGATCAGACAACACACTGATGGAATATCAAGAGAGTCTTAAATACAGCCATTAGCTACTGAATTTCTCAGACTACCTTTCCAAATGACAAACTCCATTACTTGGGATAATGGAAATGGAAGATTATGGTTGTTTCTGTCAAGTTTTACAATCACTGTACAAAACACTCCACTGTCTGTTCCTCCTACCCTTGCTGCACCAAAATAATCACCTAATAATAATCATATCCAGAGAATAGTGATGGTAAAATAGTTTAATTTTATTAACAAAGCCAAAACATAAAGCTTTTTTCCTGTTACCAAAATAAATGAACTGGAGACGTGGTTTACTCTGGAAATAAAAATTGCAAATATATCTTGGTTACAGAGAGGAAAAAAAAAAACCTCAGTTCACTATATGTTTTGGTAGCAAAATTGTCCAAACACTTGCAACAAATTTACATGAAACTAAGACAGTGATTGTGCTTTTAGAAAACAAACTCACTGATGTCTCTCAGGGACACATATTTTGGGTTTAAGTTGTATTTTTTTTAGCAAGACTCCCTAGTTAAATGAATCAAAAGTTGCATTTAAAGATGGATATCATGACAAGTCTCGTGGTAAACAACAACTCTAGATTTGAAAGAATAGTGAGCTAATCATCAGTATTCATAGAAGCTCCACTTTATGAAAGAGTCTTCACACTGGAACACAGAATCATTTATGACTAAAACATACAGCTATTTATTTTAATTGACTAGTGATGATTTCTAACACTGTTTAGCTTTCTTGCCATGCTTCAGGAACTAAATTAGTCCTAGGAGCAGTTCTGAAAGAGAGAATGATGTGGGAAAAAAAAAAAAACAAACCCAAACAACTTAAAGATTATTACACTAGGGCAGAGAACAGTTAATTTGGAGTTTTCAATATATTTACCAGAATTCTTCTCCAGTTTTAAGGAAATATTTAAGAGAATCTCTCAGTATGTATAATTCTAGAAGACTAAAGTAGACTCTTATGTGTTTCAAGCAACTTAGAACCGCTATACGTTTATATCCCCCAAATGTCTTTATTAACTGCTCATTTGGAACAGCAAGGCTAGATCTGCCCTATTCCTTGTAACTGCTCCGGAATCTGGTTGCCATACCGACTTGCACGTGCAAAATTCAATGCTAATTTTAAACAGTCAATTACTCTTTTGAACTAAAAGTTAATTTAAAAGGTGCTAAACAAGAATTTGTTGCTACACAACTTTTATTTTTTCAGCACTACTTATGCTATCAGAAAAAGTGCCTTTGACACTTATGGGAAGAAGAGGCCCTTTAGTCATTTACTGTCAAACAGGTCAGAGAACTGCCATACGTCCAAGCTTACCTGCCTTGAAACATGCTAGAGTGAGGAAAATCAGGAATGTGAGAGGAAACATCTATGGAGTAAGCAGGCTATAAAGAGCTTAAAATACCTTTTTCATTGCATACTTGATTTATTACAAACATACCCAACTGTTCCAGTGCTTTGCTGACAAGCAGTCCTGACCTGTGCATGGAAATGCTCTTTGAACTGCAGACAGGCCTCAGGTGTGTACCACTGAAAACAGCAGAGAACAGCCACTGGGATAAACTGTGCGATGTGTGCTTTGCAAGAGTTCAAATCAGCAAAGAAAAAGTAGTTGAGGAGATTAACTCAAAGAGTTTTTCAAGGACATGGATGCCTCGGCATAAGAAAAGGGATAGCTTGGGTTAGAAGGCAGTAAAGCTTCCCTAGAGCTACGTTTGTAAGAACTCCTTCAGACTGTGCCATCACTTCACCACCTGAGTGTCAGCACTGAGCTCCAGCTGAACTTCCACAGTCAAACACATTTACGTATCATTCTGTACAACAGCAAGTACCGTAAACTATCCCACTAACCTCAGACACACAAGACAAACACAGACAGGAGCATGCCACCAGCAAGTTATTATTACTGTTACATCTTTCAGATCTCTTACGTGTTCGGAACACTCCTGTTATTACTAGTTTTTATTTAGGCATTAAAAATGAGGAAAACTTATTTTACTTTATATTTGCTGAAAATACCTGTGGTAATGTTTCCAAAACTAAAAGCAAATTACATGGTTGAGATCAAACACTGAAAAAAATGCTAACTCCCCTAAAAGGATCTTTAGAACAACTGAAAAAACAGAACAGTGATTCCTTGTCCTTCCCTGTCCTTAACTCTTCTATTATACTTCAAGTACCAAACTCTTTGGGGACATCAACGATCTTTTCTGTGTTTCTGCAGTGCCTACCACATTTGATCTACTGTATGACTAAGGTTCCTACACAAACAGATAATTAAAATTGCCTCGAATTCTTCATCTAAACCCTCAATATAGATCTAATTAGACTTTTTGCATATTTAATATCTGCTTTGGTTCTTATTTCCCCTTAGCATAGGAACTCTTTAAGCATATAATTATTAATGTTTAGCTGAAATAACAAGATAGATAAAGATAACACTTCTGTGGCAAGAGTATCTGTAAAGAAGATATGAGGATTATTATTCAAGATATCAGCACTGAATCAGAACATGAAGTGACATCCATTTTTGAAAGAAATCCTTAAACATTTTGTAATTTTAACAGAAGACAACCATACAGTAAAATACAATTAGCACAAGGGAAAGACAGGTCAATGTGGCAGGTGATACATACTGTGACCAGAGGAATAAGGAATGCTTACCTTGGGAAACTGGGAGATTATTCTGTCCCTACTCACTGGAGGAACCAAATGCATTAGGTTGGACTTCATGCTCCAAATTCAATTAAATTCTATTAGGTAGGAAATACATAAAGAGAAACATAGTATTTGGGAATCACCCTAATACAGGGAAAACATGATTAAAATATAAAAAATTAACAGTTCTTACAGACTCAATCTGTTTTCCTTTCAGTACAACTGGCAGTTCTTTGACTTTATTTGCATTAAAAATAGCCTGTTTCTTATGTTAAACCGATCACTTCAGTGCGTAAAGCTGTAGCAGTAAGCAGTGGCTTCTTGAAACTACAAGGCATCAACTCTAATTCTGTAGGAGGGCAGAGAATTGTTCACTTAAGTGCTTGCAGTTTAGCCCTCAAAGGATTTTGCAGTGTTTAATTTTAAAATCTTGCTCATCATTGCTTGAAATGCCTCTGCAGTAAGCACATTAATAAATGGTAGGGGATTACAGATTTCATCTGGTCAGAAGAAGAAAGGAAGAAAGATGAAGCTGCCACATTTCTTGGCACAACAGTAAACTTTCATCCAAGATCAACTCAGAAAGAATGAAATCAGTAGACTGTTTGACTTGGAAAAAGAATAATGTTCACATGAAAATCACAAGTGCATTTAGATATCCCACCTGAGACCTATCAATTTGGTTATGCAATGAAACCTCGTGGGTTGTTGGGGGAGGGGACCCTTAATACAGTAACAATTTCTTACTGGCATTCTAAAGAATGTTTCTAATAAGAAGATTCATCATGTAGCAAAGTGTAAGGAAGGACTCACCGAGCAGCAGCTGATGCAGCAGGATTCCAGCCACACAAACAGCTCAGAAGTGCTGCTGCGTGGCCATAGCAACAGGTTTGCAACAGTTCCCATCCTTCCTTCTCGTCCAGACTGGAAAGGCGGAGTTGGAGTAATTGAACTATACACAGGGCCCTAGTTTTCAGAGTTTAGTGGCCAAATTCATTTGATCACAAATTGCTCTTCAATAAAGCAAATCGTCCCCTAACCCTGTATAAGACAAGAGCTCTGTTTTTTTTCAAAGATAGTTGTATGCTTGGATACAAAGAGCAGGATTAACCTAGCAGACAAGAGCAGGGAACTGTTATAGCGCTAATGTCAAGCATATTGGCAATTATAGAGAAACTCCTGAGGGATTTTTTCCGAGTTTCAACTTGATTTCATCGCAGCTTTAGAGTCAGGATGTGCATGCCACTAATGAGACATTCTGAATTACATAAATACCTTTCTAGCCATTAGTACTCATTTTCTAACGTACCAAGCACTAAAAAGACAAGGAATAAGAAGTCACACAGCTCTTTTCTACTGCTTAAGTATTGTTAATCCAGTCATTAGTTTAGATAGTATTTAGTATGCTAGACTGTAATTCAGGATGCTAAACCATTTTGTTATTTATTTCACTAGGATTTGAATTCCCAAATTTCAGGACAAAAGAAAGCTCTCTCATTCTAATAGTCATGTTTTGATAATACTGGAACAAGCTTGGACCTCTTAACAGCCAGGAGACAAGCCTTAGCCATTCCTGCAGCAGATCCAAAATCTTAAAGGGCAAATCAATGTGGACAAGTAGTTTTAAACAAGTAAGTAAAAAATAAAAAAAACCCCTAGAGCTGTGTTTTACAACTCCATACTAGGAATAATGCCCAACAAAACTGCTAGCCCACCACTTAATGTTTTATTCTCTTTTGTGAAGAATTGCTTTTCAATCAGGTACTCATGTGATCTCAACCATATGGAAACATCCACTTCCCCCCAAAGAATACAAATTTCCAGGTGATGGGTGTCAAAGTTTAGGCCTGGACCAGTCACTAAACTGACACACACTCTCTGCAAGCACCCCACCACCCTCTCAGGAAAGGGTAACATGGGAAACAGGGAGATAGACTCTGAGGTTAGAAAAATCTTGAATCGGTTTGATGAAAAAGCAAATAAAACTAACAATGGAGATACTGAATTACTCACATATGTATATATATACATGTATATAAATATATTCAAAGATACAAAAGAACACGCTAGTACAGAATCCATGCCTTCTGGATGGCAACCAGGCCCCAAACAGAAAAGTCCCAGACTGGACTCAGCAGCAGATGGAAGTACCTGAGTCCAGAGTTCAGATGACTGCACCACAAAAACAGAACAGGGAATCTTGGAGGGGCCACGCCACTCCCACCCAGGAAGATCAGGCAATACAACAGGTCCCAACAAATGGTGTCCCACTGCATCACAAAAAGAGGAGGCAAGAATGCCAGTAGCACAGAAAGAGATAAGGAACAACCATTAGCAATCCTCCCAACACAACGGGCAGCAAAGGCCCAAGGACTTTTCTCAGGGGCCCTTATATACTGAGCAGCCTGGGAAGGAACACTGTGATTGGGCCATTTGGGTCACCTGACTCATTCTCTCCTCCCCAATAGGCACAGCTGCCCCCAGTTCCCCGCTGTAATTACATGTGCTCCAGGCAGCCCCCAAAAATTTTTATCCTGGTGCTCTCAAACCAGAACAATGGGTTATTCACTAGAGAAGGTGAAATTACAGTATTTATCTATTATCATAAGCATAGTTCTATTTATCATGCTACTTGTGACCATATAAAACTAGAGGTCTAGACACTTTCTGTGGTCTGCTCCTGCCCTTTTTGGCAAAATGGAATGCTTTTATGGCAACATTAACATCTTAAGATAATAGTTCTGGGAAAAAAAAAAACAAAAAACAAACAAACAACAACAAAATCACTTCCCATTGATAAAAGTTTCAGACAGTAATGTGCTTTCTCCATATTCTCCCAGTTCTAGTTCAACATACCCTAAACATGTAAAAATCTATCATGTACACACAGGCTGACTCACTGCTCATCTCCTAGAGCTCTTTCATAAACTAAGCTACAAAAAAATCAATTCAGCAATCTCAGTGAATCCAAAGTACAGGAAGGACCAAGGCAACCAAACAGAAACATTTCAAAATTGAGAGGCCACCTTCACTTACGTTTAATGAATTTAATCTAAATCTCTCATACAGAGAAGCCCATCCCAACTTACCAAATCAACAAATTAGCCACACTATTAGTGGAAAAAAATCAATGATTTAAGAAATACAAAGCTGCTAAAAATACCGACAATGAGCAGTACTGAAATCCAGATTTTTTTCTTCTTACGGAGCTGAAGGTGATTCAGTCACCAGGGAGGACTGGGAATATAGTGTCGCCATGGCACCACAACCCTCCTCACATCAGTGTTGCAGGAACAGTATCACCAGCAGATTCTGTGGATAGACAAAGGATTTGAGGAAGGCATTCAGAAGCTGTACATAAAATGTTGTCACGACCACTAACCAAAATCAGTATTTCAAGCTATGGTGAAACAAGACAGAACAAGTCACACCTAAAGGACAACAGCAGAGCTAACACCGAAGGACAAGAGAAGTCTCTGATCTTCTGCTGTGCCTTCTACACTGAGGAAAGTTCACATTCTTCCTACTGAAATAGGGTGAAACTCTACAAACACATAGCTAGCGAAAGTCAAATCTAATTCAGGAAAGTAACCTCTACTTTAAATAATCTGATCTAAAACGTTGCAGAAAAATGAATCCTTTCCTCTAAATACTTTCTAAAGCAGTAACTTTTCTTTTATGAAGATCAACAAACCAGAATCTATTGCTGTATTGTATTTTAATCTGGCTGATCTGAACGACTTCGGCTTTGTAAAATCCAGTTTGAGAACTTTGATTATTGTAATTGTTACTCAGACATAATGAAAAAATGTATGGACGACTTCTGTTTGCACCAAGACCTAACCTTTCATAGCACAAACAATTGAGTCTTTTTCCTGACATCAGATCACGCCTGACAACCCAGAGCACCCCTGAGCTGCGCTGCCAGCGTTGCACTGACACGTTCTCCTTGGGACCATCCTCTGAATGCGCTGTTTTGTAGGAGGAATATACTGAAAAAAGATGGCCAAGTTTTGAAGACAATTATGTGACTCTGTGTAATGATAATGCAAACCTCTGCTACACATTCTAGCTGTTTATAATGACATTCTGGAGAAGACCAGGACCAAAGCTAGTGAGCTCCCTTCAACCCTTGCGCTTCAGGACACTCACCTGCTACACCTCTGCCATTAACTCGACACCCATTTTGTTCTATCTGAATTCTTTTTTCAATTTTGTTCAACTTGAATTGCTTTTGAGAAACGGGGTGGGGGAGAGGAGAGCCTCCCTCCGAGCTTTAGCAAAGAGCCCAGGCAAAAAGGTCTCCACACTTCACCCCCACGCCGAGGTTCCCCGGCTCCTC